GATTGTTGTTGTTGTTGTTATTGTTATTTTTGTTATAAATTTGTTATTTTCTTATTGCTATTGTTTTTCTTTTTCTTATGGTTTTGCTTTTATGTTGTTGTTGTTGTTTTTTAAAATTATTTTTGCGTTTTTTTGTAAGAGTTTAACTCTACTTGCAGCACAACATGGTCAAATAAGTGCCGAACATTATATTGATTGTGTTACAAGAAAGTAGCAAATACATAAAAGAAGAAGGAAAGATGAGGGTGATACATGTTTGATAGGAAAGGAGGAGTACACTTCACCAGAGCACTCGCCAACCATCCATAGTGAATCAATAGTTACAACAATTGCAGCAGTGGTAGAAAGAACAACTACCGCGACAACTCTTATCCTGATCGCAAATAGTCATCGCAAATAGTCACTACAGAGACACAGAGACCTTACTAACTCCGTCGTTCTTAAACCCGTCGGCCACACACACACACAAACATACACACACACACACACACACACACACACACACACTAGCATGCACACGTGCACGCACGCACGCTCGCGCGCACGCACACCTACACACATACAGACACACATACACACACACATACAAACAAACACACACACACATACAAACAAACACACAAACAACATGACATCAACACCCGAGTGAGTTTGAATATGTCTCAGCAATTCCAAAGCTCAAAAGAGCCAAAAAGAGAAAAGAGAAACTGAAACAGGGTGTGGCCTTTGAATACTAGTAAAAAAAAAGGCATTTTCCACTTCACAACATTAATAAGTAAGCAATCTCGACAATTTGTCAGCCAGATAACCAATAATTTCTCAATGTACGGATGCCAGGTCTGATGTACAACAACACAATAATAAAATTAGGAGGGGTGGGGGTTTGCTTCATTTATTTCCCTATCACATTGCATTAGACTTAGACATGACTGTAAGAGAGGCAAGGAGGAGGGGATAGATAGATGGGTGACGAGAGAGAGAGAGAGAGAGAGAGAGAGAGAGAGAGAGAGAGAGAGAGAGAGAGAGAGAGAGAGAGAGAGAGAGAGAGAGAGAGAGAGAACCATACTGGTAATGACCTGCTGTTCCGAATAGATGAGAAGTCATAGGAGGTGATGATGTTGGTGGTGTTGGTGCTGGTGGAGGGTTTTTCGGTCTAACTTGTTCCATTATCATTCCGGTGGTAAGGGTTACGTGCGTATGCTTGCATACACACTGATACAATGTGAGGTAGTGGTGGATGAAGGGACGAGGGGGTCGATTCAGTAAACAGAAGTACATAGACATGGTCATAGTCATTTAGTGTTAAGAAAAGATAAGACAGATCGACAGTAAAGAAATTGTGAAAGAAAAGAAGTTGTACTTTCTAGTGTTACCCTCCAGACTCCAAATACCCCTTTGTATGCATGTATTCACCGATAAGAAGATTGGAGTGGAAATTGTTGGAGCAGTTAGGGGAACTGACAATGGAAAACAGACAAACAGACAGAGAAAAGACTGTCAGACAGACAGACGGGCTGAAAAACAAAGGTAAACATAGTGAGGAAGAGCCATGCAAACAGACGGGCCAACAGATGCGCCGATAAACAAGGAGACTGAGATATAAGGGACGAATAAATATCTTTGAGTTAGCTTCTGTTGCGCGTGTGGCTGTATGTTATCTCTTCTTTCTCTTCGAGTGTTTGCCCCTCTTTTTAAAAAAATAGCTTTTGCTGTCTTTTTGTAGCAGGAGGTAGGAGTGTGCCACTGGTAGGTTCCGCTTCGCGGTTGTGTCAATCAGTTCGGCATATTGTTCCAAGCACTCACCGGCAGTTATTGTGTCTACATGTATGTTTTTGTCTCTACGTTAACAACTAAAATCAAACTGTCAGGTAAGCTGAAGAGTGCAATGCAGAAGGCAGACAAGAAGATGCTTTATTTTTACGAACATTTTTGTCCCTTGCCCATTTCTATGAAATTGTGACACCATCTGTTTGGAAACAAAAGGTGAGGATGATAGTGTCCAATAGTCTATTGCGTGCATAACATATGTGAGCCGTGCTGACAAAATGAGTTACTTCTCGCGCTCCACAGATGGAGATATTGGGAAAAAATCAACACTAGGGTCAAATTTGTAGATTTTCTATTGATGCCATATGTTTTAGGTGTAATATGCCTATTATTATTTCATACTTATGTATTTTTTTTTTAAAACGTATAAGCGTGGTGTATCTATTTCCATAGGGCTCGATTCAAAGAAGTAACTCATTTTGTCAGCACGTTTCACATATTGTAATATGTAACTGTTACAGATAGAAATTCAAGGTATAATAATATATATGAATGTCAAGGATCAGAGAGCAATGATAATTTTAGATATTATGGTGATGGTGGTGAGTGATGGGGATAAAAAGATGCTTATAAACAGTAATTCTAAATTGTATCGATCATCCTGTCGTAGCATTTCCCCATTGTGAGGTATCTGACCCCCCCCCAACATATCTTGTCTAGCTTTAACCAAATCCCCTTTTCTGATAATTCAAAATGCCCCTATCCTTCCCCTCGAAACAGACACGTTCAATATGACACACCACTACTCTGCCTGCGCCATAATGATTCTGTTGAATAGGTGTCATTGATTGAGTAAAAAGAAGCACATCGACTGGATATTGGGATATTGGTCATTTAAATTTAATGAAGGAAAAAAAGCAAGACAGACAAACAAAAAGCTAGGGGCGACAAAAAAGTAGGACGTATGAAGTGGCACTCTCCAACTACTAACAACAAGGGTCATAGACGTTATATAAGTGTTTTAATGTCCCCATTGACACAATGGTTGCAGTCTTCCGACCCTGCCTGTGCAGGGCCAATTCGGGAATCGAACTCGGGTCTCCTGTGTGCGACAGGAAAACGTCGAACCGCTACACCACAGAAGCCTGTCAGGCGATATCAAAATAGCCAGATAGTCTTAGCTGCTAATGTATTGAAAAAAGGGGGGGGGGCAAAGGCTTCCATAAAGAGACTTGATTTTGAGCGGTGTAAGGTTTCCTTGTCTTTTGGATTGAGGATCCACCCCGGAAAGTCAAAGGTCCTAAGGATAGATGCACAACGAAAGGAGTAGGCCACAATAGAAGAAAATGCACTAGAAGACGTTGAATCCTTGTGCTATCTTGGGGGTGCAGAGAGGGAGGAAAAAACACAGGTTGCCTTCCTATCTTTCAACGGGATTTGGGAGACCAGAGATATCTCACTTCGAACAAAGCTGAGGATTGTCAATTCAAATGTGAAGTCAGTCCTGTTGTATGGATATGAGACATAGAACGCATCACATACTTGCATAAAGAGGATCCAGGTATTCTTGAACAAGTTTAGTGTCTAAGAAAGTTACTGAAGATCAGATGGACAGACAGTGTCACCAACGAGGAAGTTTTTGGAAAACAAGACAGATCTCAGTCAGAGACGAGGTAGGAATAAGGCGGTGGCGATGGATTGAACATTCTCTCAAGAAGTTAGGCAGCTATATATCAAAGAAAGTGTTGTATTGGAATCCACATGGTAGGAGATCAAGGGGAAGATCGCGTGGAACCGGGAGAGGAATCGCACAGAAATTGATGTACAGAAAAGTGGGAAGACATGGAATAACACCAAGAGGCTAGCCCTAGATAGAGAAATGTTGAAAGTGTTGGTTCGTCGAATTTACCCTGGTGCAGGGTGAGAAAGGCAACGATGAAATTTCTTTACTCGGCTATCTTTGAACAGTATTAGATGTGTAGCAGTTTATAGTGTATTTGACCTTCAACGGCCTTCGAGGACCCCTTATAACTTTCCATTTAACGTTCGTCAGTGATGTTTTATTTTGTGGAGTACCAGCGTTTGTCTGCAAGGGATGCTGTCTCTCTCATTCGAGTTGGGATGATGGAGAGGCCCGTCTCCTTAAAGATCCATACTATGTGGATACTGATTCCCAAGCGGTAGACGGAGATACTCTAAAAAAAAAAATCGATTCCAGGAATCGAACTCATTTCATGTCTTTGCAACAGGGAAGAGTTTGAATAATACCGACGTGAGTGAGTGGGTGAGTGAGTGAGTGGGTGAGTGAGTGGGTGAGTGAGTGAGTGAGTGAGTGAGTGATTGAGTGAGTGAGTGAGTGAGTGAGTGAGTGAGTGAATGAGTGAGTGAGTGAGTGAGTGAGTGAGTGAGTGAGTGAGTGAGTGAGTGAGTGAAAGTACATCAGAGTGATTCGAACAGGTGTGAAGCATAAAAAAGAAGAAAAGAGAAAAGCATCAGAGAGAAAGTGAAAAAAAGCAGAAAATGAAATATTGTCAAGTGTTCATGCGGGACCTTACCTAACTAGGTCAAAGAGCCGTAACGCCTATGAAGCTCGCCATGTCATCTAAAAGGACAAGGTTCGATGTCCGCAGAACTGTACAGATACGTGTTTACGTATGACTGTGACACTCTCTGTCAACCACGCTGGTGGCAAAGGGAGTGGGGATAACACATAAATCCAGCAAGTTAAATCTAAAACAACTCACCTTTTTGAAAAACACCTTTTCAGAAGTTCCCAGAAGGGATTTCCAAAATCCTTTTCGAAGAAAAAAATTGTTTTTTCCAAGAGTGAAAATCCTTTTCGAAGAAAAAATATCGTTTTCTAAGAAAAACAGCGTCTATTGCTTTCCAGGGTCAGCTAGTCCAAACAGAATCAAGGAATGGAATCAAGAATCAACTTCCAGCTCCCAGAAGTTTTGCAGACGTTTAAAGAAATTATCACGACATGATCGTTCACTTAAACATTTTCTAACTTAGAGATCCACAATAACATGGCAGTACTCTAAACTCTTTTCAACTTTGCTGCTTTTTCAATTATACAGCATTGGCTACACCTTCTTTATAATAGACAAGAAAACTTTTTTTTAGAATCGAGCTAGAGATTTAGAAGTAAAACTGGGTAAATAATAGAGAAATTCGAACTGAAATCTGGAAATCCCGAAGAGTAAAAGAGTTTGAATTTTGCACCACTTTTTGAAGTAAACAATTATTTATTCAAATTTGCATAGAGGGTTGAAAATAGTGCAAATATATAATGTCAGATTGCGTAACATGTGTGTTGTTTAAAAATCTATCGGCAACTGCTGAACTGCGCGAACATAATTTGTGAAATCTTGTTTGTCAGTGTAGTGGCGCGGCTACTCCTGGACGCACGCGCGCACAGCGGCGACACACAGCTTTTGGTTGTGGCGGGGAAAATGCCGTCTGCCTACCAGGCCGTTGGCTGCCCGCTCTGTGGTGGCAGTCGTGGTGCTGGTCCTGGGTGTTTGACAGAAGCGACGGCGGTGACGTCACTCCCTGCGACGACAGGATGAGATGGGGGGGAGGGGGGAGGGGGGTGCTGGCCGGAACGTCGCTGTATATTTCTGCTGGATTGGCAGTCTTTGCCATTTTATCCTTTTTGCTTCCTCTCTTTCTCTCTACCTTTCATAATAGATGTTCCTCTCTCTCTCTCTCTCTCTCTCTCTCTCTCTCTCTCTCTCTCTCTCTCTCTCTCTCTCTCTCTCTCTCTCTCTCTCTCTCTCTCTCTCAACCGATTGGACCGTTGCAAACCTAGAGGATAAGGGCTTGTGAATGTGTCGCTTTTGTTAAGGTGTAAGTTTAAGTATAGAAAAGGAATGCTGGTAGGCTAGACCACAGCTGCAGCCTGAAGTGATTCCGTGACCAAATTGAAAGTGATTTGGAAGGACAAGATGGTCGCCGTCAGTTCTAAGATTAGTGGGAGGTGGGTGTTAGCCAGAATTTTAGGGCACTTGCAACACAATAAGGACTTATAAGTGCCGAAGATCAATGGTGTCACAAGAGAATAACAAACACAAAAAAGGAGGAGAGATCAGGACGACCGATGTCTGATAGGAAAGAAGGAACAAACCACACAGGAGCACCCCATAACGTGGACCACTACAGGAGCAGATATTGAAAGAAGGATAATTGACTGGAGATGTGGTGTTTCTGCAAATTCATCGGTATCAGGCATGGAGATCTCATAACCAATCGGGTAGTGGAAACCAGAAGGGGAAAGTATAAAGACCGTATAGAGATATTCTCTTGACGTCAGTAAAAAGATGCAAACTGAAGTTGTACGGGGACATCACACAATCATCTTGCCTGGCCAAGACAATCCTACAGGGAACAGCACAAGGAGAGAGACGAAGAGGCAGACGGAGGAAACGAGGAGAGGACAACAGCAAAGAGTGGACTGGTCGTGACGAGAACATCTAACTACGGAAAGCTGATAACCTAGTGAAGTAGAAGAATATGGTTGCAAAATCTGCAATGGTGATCTGACGGTCTGCCACACTATGGAATAGGTGAATGTGAAAGAGGGGAACATTGGTACAATAATGGTCATTTTGGTACACTGAAAACGCAAGAAAGGCAAACATAAATAATAACGGGAAAATAAAGAAGTAGCACTTACTAGCGGCACCCTCCAATCGCCCTCTGGTGTGGTAATGTAAAGACACCCCCCACCCCCCTCAAAAAAAGAGACAGTACACTAAAGCTAGATCTGTCTTAATAAGTAATTCAGCGGAAATCTAATCATCCCGATGATTGTTCGAATGGAGAATTTTATGCCGTGTAACTTAATATTGTTTTCTTATATTACAGCGGTCATAGTGAGCCAGAAATGTAAGAGGAGAATAGTAAAAGACCACATTCAGAGGGGGGGGGAAAGAGAGAGAGAGAGAGAGAGAGAGAGAGAGAGAGAGAGAGAGAGACAGACAGACAGACAGACAGACAGACAGACAGACAGACAGACCGATTGGGGGGGGGGGGATATTAACATGTTCTTATGCACTGTAGAGTTGTAAATGGGCCGATTTATCAATGTTGTGCTCATACTGTGCCGGAACAACATAGGAGAACTGCTGTTTTTTCTTTCATCTTCCTTAATATGGTCATTTTACCTCTACTTCTTTTGTTTGTTTGTCACTTTCTTATGAACTGCTATTTCCGGGGTGCCTTGATGGTCGAAGCAGACTTTATGCTGTTGAGGCTATAGAGAGCTGAGCGGAGTAAGCTTGATTCCCCATTTGGACTTCTTTGTTGGCGCTCATATAGCCTCATGCAGTTGTGAGCGCTGTAAAACCTAATTAAAACTAAACTACATACATACATACATACATACATACATACATACATACATACATACATACATACAGGTAGATAAACAGACAAACAGACAGATAAGAAGGAGCAGAGATAGAAAGAGAGAGAGAGAGAGAGAGAGAGAGAGAGAGAGATAGGGGAGTAAAAGAGATTGAGGAGAGCGAGAGAGATGACGAGGAAAAGAAATGGATGAGACAGGGAGAAAGAGAGAGAGAGAGAGAGAGAGAGAGAGAGAGAGAGAGAGAGAGAGAGAGAGAAACAGAGATAGAGACAGAGAGAGAGAGGGGGGGAGAGAGACAGAGACAGAGAGAGAGAGACACACAGAGAGAGAGAGAAGGGGAGACGTATTGTGGAGAGGAGAGTGGAAGGCAGGAGATAAGAGGGGTAAGATAAAAACGTGAAACTAGGGCGAGGATGGAAATGAGGAGACAGGGAGGAATCAAGTAAATCTCATTGCGCCAAAGGGAGGGGATTGAGGTTAGGGTAGAGGGGGCAGGCAGGGGAGGCTCGTGGGTCTAAAAAGTGGGCGTGCACAGTTAAGCTATCTTAGGCAGAAGATAATCAAGGGCAGAGTAAATGGGATGGTGTATAATTTTAGGATCTTCGGGTTGATGAAGGAAGACCATGTGCTTTTATTTTCATTCTTTTTGTGGCTTTGACTTCTTGAACTAAATCTGTTTGTTAGCTAAACGTCAATTTCTTTCATCCTGCATTAGAACTGAACACTCAAGTAATACCTTTCACCACTCCACTACAAAACCGTTCAAAAGCACAACTCATAGGACGGCGACTTAAGTATGTCACGTTCACCTCCCTCAGGTTCACGGTCACCGAGTCACTTAAAATAGCGCCAAGACAATGAACCAATCACAATTCACTTGAGCACTCCGCTGGATTGCTCCGGGGTCCAC